ACACACACACACACAGACACACACACACACACATAGTTTGAAGAGTTTGAACATATGAAACATATGAAACATATGACGTTTGTGTTTTAAATGTTTTTTGGAAGCTCATGTTATCAGCTGGACATGAACATGTCTGATGTATGTCAGTATTTTCTCCAGATCACAGAATACATCATTGTTTATTAAAGATGCATTGTACATGCTTCACTATGTTTATCAAGCAGAGCAGGAGTTAGAGCTGACAAGTTGTAAAGTGGTTGATCTGTGATCTCTGACTCTATGACGACGAGATGATGAAGAATATATCACTGCTCTTCATCTCTTCAGTTTCAGATGTGAAGCCTCCACCAGCTCCTGTATTCAATCTATTTATGAGTTCCGTTCACATCATGAGGTTAGAAATGTTAATGTGGAATTAAACTAAGTGAAGATTTACTTTTACAACAGACACCCCCCCCCCCCCTCTGTCTGTGTCCCAGGGTCAGAGCGTCTCTTTCAGAATAAAAGTCATGCTCTCGTGACCCTGGATGTTCTGCAGTCTCAGAGATACCAGCCCTGAAATTAACAACCTGCCCTCCTCTCCTCCTCCTCTTTCATCCTGCTCTTTTATACTCCATCATTCCATCTCCGTCGTTCTCTCTGACTCTTCTTCTTCAGTCCTTCTAATCCCTCTCTCCCTCTCTTTGTTCCTTCTTCATCACTTCTTTCTTCAACTCCACTCTTCTCTTTTCTGATTTCTGGATGTAATTTGTGTGACAGGAGGATTTTTTTTTGCCATTTTCAGTGATTTGCAGGGAATAATTCATAATAATGAATGTATCCGAATGAAATGAATCATGTAGAGGACTGATGTGTGTGGTTATGATGATTAATATAAAGGGACTGTTGAGTTCTACTTTATCACTCAGGTAAAAACAGCTCATCTGGACGTTCAACAGAAACTTTACAGTTAGAACATTGTCATCTCAAACACTTTTTGCTTTTGACAGAGAAAAACATACTGTTCCTGTACATCTCATTTATTTAAATTGTCTCACAAATGTTGAAGTTTTCCCAACGCTGAGCAAAAAGAATAAAATCCCAAGATATCACAAAGAACCTCAGCAGCAGCTCAGCAGAGAAAAACATGAAGTAGGTCTCGTTGGATCAGATGAGACACATTCAGTGAATCCAGGATCTGTTTTCTCACCAGTGAGGGAGCTGAGGAAATCAGGACTGAGTCTGCAGCTGTGGACTGAAGCTCCTGTTCTTCTAATTTAACTTTAACAAACTCTGACTATTAAATTATTAAAAATACAAAGCATCATGAACTCAATCAGTCAAAATGAACTTTATATTTCCACATGGTCACATCGGCTTCTGTGTCATTTTTTACATCGTATGTAATCAGAGAAAATGTCAGTTTTAAACAAAACTGTCAGGTCGATGGAAAATTCACAGTGAGTGGACGTGTTGATGAGGTTTCTCATGCGACACTGGAAGAACACAAATATCTCAGGATGAAGAAGAGGAGCCTTACATGTAGAAGATGAAGACGTCCACTTGGAGAGACATGGTCCATGGCAGAAAGTGGTCCCTTTAATTAAAAAAAATCTAATTGTCTTCTGGGACAAGCTCTGGTCTGGGCCCTCTAGTGGCCACAGTAGGCCTGAGCAGGTCCAACAAAGGGTTAGGGGTAAGAAATAAGAAATTAAATCTTTTCCTGTCTGTCAGATCATGTACACAACAAAGCAGTAAATGTTTCAACACATTCACTTCAAGGAGAAACAGTGAAAGAGTGAAACTGTGTTTACAGGAAACTGACCTCTTACTGAAAGAAGGAACCAGTAGTTTTACTGTTATTTTTATCACAGCTGAAGTTGAACTGGGACCTTGTGCTTCTCGTCACATGTTCCACTGTGATAACGAACCTGAAACCAAACACAGCTCGTCCAGTATAAAAGTCACTGAGTAGCTGCAGCTGTGGAGACAATCAGAGAAACATCATGAGGACTCTGGTGGTTCTGCTCCTCGTGGCTGTGGCCAACGCTCGAGTCTACGAACGCTGTGAATGGGCCCGACTGCTGAGAAATCAGGGGATGGATGGTTACCGTGGCATCAGTCTGGCTAACTGTAAGTGCAGACGAGATGTTAGATGAGAGATGTAGTTCTCATCACACTTGGGTAGTTCCTTTTTGTTTGTTCAAGTCAACGTCATGATTGACAGCTGAGACTGACTCATGATTCGCCGAATGGCGTATGGGCGGGGCATCGTCAACACAAGATGGCAGCGTTTGTAGATATTTTGGCTTCATGTTTTTACAGTGGGAGAAAGTGGACATGTGTCCGTCTTGATTTACGTCTGAACCAAAGAATCATTCGGTGAATCAACATAAACAGTTGTTGTTGCTCTGTGATGTTTCAGGGGTTTGTCTGAGTGAGTGGGAGTCACACTACAACACCAGAGCCACCAACCACAACACTGATGGATCCACTGACTACGGCATCTTCCAGATCAACAGTCGCTGGTGGTGTAACGACAGCCAGACGCCCACTTCTAACGCCTGTAACATCAGATGCAGTGGTCAGTGAATAACCAGCACAACCAAACTAACCAAACACAGTTTCACACCGTTTCAAACCATTTAGATAGATAGAGGAACTTTATGATCCCAGTTGGGAACAGCAGCAGTTCAACATTCACAGAGAGTAAGACACAAAAGACAAGGTGCGGTATTTGACATGACTAAATATAAATATTACCAAATGTGGTCAAATGAGTATGAATATAATATGAGCAAAATAAATAAATAATTGACTGTTATTGCAGCAGTAAGTACTAGCAAGTACTATCAGAGGTGGGAATTGTACAGTCTTATTGCTGTGGGCAGGAAAGACTTCCTGTATCTGTCCTTGTGGAGCTGAAGCAGTCTGTTGGAGAAGGTTCTCCGCTGTCTGTCCACCAGGTGGTGGAGAGGGTGGTCCTGATTGTCCATGATGGATAAGAGATTATTCAGCGTCCTCCTCTCCACCAACACTTCCAAAGAGTCTGGTTTGCAGCCAGTGACGGAGCCAGCCCTCTGAATCAGCTGGTTCAGTCTGTTGGTGTCACCGGCTCCGAGGCTGCTCCTCCAGCAGACCACAGCAAAGTACAGAACACCGGCTGCAACAGACTGACTGAAGATCTCCAACATCTGGCTGCACACGTTGAAACATCTGAGCTTCCTCAGGGAATAGTCTGCTCATTCTTTCTTGCAGACAACATCGATGTTTTCCACTTCAGTCCGTTGTGGATGTGGACGCCCAGGTACTTGTGATCCTCCACTGTCACAACATCCTCTCCCAGAATACACAGTGGCTGTGAAACCTCCTCTTCCTCCTCCCTGGTCTTGGCCACATTCGGAAGCAGATGATTTTTACCGGCCCACTCTACAAAACCATCCACCAGCGCTCTGTACTCACCCTCCCTCCCCTCACTTATACACCCAACCACTCAGCGAACACCATTTCACTCTTTCAAACTGGGTTTGACTGAGGCCACAGCATGAAAACACAAACTACACAAAACACAACAGTTAACCTGTATTTTAACTGGATTATTTCATCCGTATTTTAACATTCAGCTAATTGTCTCTTCCATACACGTTGTAGCATCTAAGATAAGACAGTCAGTGATTTTCTATCAGCACGTATAAAGGAGAAGTTCATCTTCATTTTATTGTTTGTCTGAAACAAAAAGAAAAGTTTCTGTTCCTGTTTTATATTCAGTGTCTCTCCTGAGAGACATATTTCTTCATTCTGTAAAACTCTGATGTCTTCAGATACTCGGATGTCTCTCACTTTGTCTTCAAATATTCTGATGTCTCTCACTTTGTCTTCAGATATTCTGGTGTCTCTCAGTTTGTCTTCAGATATTCTGATGT